GCTGGCGTTTGACATCGATTTGAGTGAATTGAATACGAATTACAATCAGTTGATTGGTCTGAAGAAGCAGATGAATGAATGCGAGACACAATTGAATGCATGGATTGCCAGCGATTTGTCGCAAGAGATCAACGATTTGAAGGATATTTGCCGTCAAAACAACGACCGCTCCGTCAGATCCCAAGAGTTACGCGACTTCACCGATAAGTTGCGGCAAATCTATGGCGAAATGGGATCAATCGACCACTCGTTTAGTGTCAACTCGTATGAGATGTCTTTCCGACACATGTCTAACGCGTCGGAACTGCTTAAGCAACTGATGAACACCATTGAGACGAACACTGATCTCAAGCCTCTCGCCAAAGAGTTGGCAGAGTTTTTGCAGACAATTAAAACCGATTTAGTGGTAAAGAGAGAGGAATTGATTTATAACACGAAAACTATGTTCAACTCAAACGTGAAGGCATTTCGGGATGAGTTTAATAACGAGAATGTGTTTGAATTCAATTTAATTAATTATCTCTCGTCTCATGAGTACAAGAACTTCATCAACGCTTTCGTGGAAATGCGCGAAAATGAGCCCATTTTGAAGGAATTGATTAAATGCTTGAATTGTTATTTCGTGAAAACTATTCTCAACGAAGAGGTGAATGACATTGTTTTGGAGGACAACAGGATTACGGCCGTCCTCTCGACCACATCCACCGCCACTCCGCTGTCACTCTTGAAGACGTTTTTCGATTATTTGAGTCAAACCGTCACCGATAAGAATAATATACCCGAAAGCAGACAATTGTTACGACTTTTGGGGCAATTCTGGACGGAAGACATATTCGACCAGATTTTGAAGTACTATTTGAATCGATTGATGCCGAAGAACGAGTCGGACATCAAGTCATACCTCAGTCTCGTCGACGCGGCCGAAGATATCCGACATTTTCTCATCGAAATTGGTTTCATTGACGACAACACCAACTCTCCATTCATTGAGTTTGCGTTGAATATAAACTCGCATTTTTGCCGAAGACTTTGCACCGACTTTTTACTCGAGTCCAAAGCTATCATTTGCCGCGATTTGCATCAAACAGTGGCCGTGGGATCCGATGAGAACCCGACCGCCACGTCGTTCCCCTCGTGTAGAGTCAGTGAATTCATTGTAGAACTCAAACAATTGATGGACAGGATTAACGACCTGTCCGTCCAGTGTTCGGCCGACTGTTCCAATGCGTTGATTCAGACGATGACAGATGTCTGCGAGTTGTTTGTGGACATCAGTCCCGTGTTTCACAACAAAATGATTACTGAATTCCCGCAACAAAACGCTATTTTTCACAATAATTGTATGTTTTTCGCCAATTTTATGGAAGTGTTTGCTTTGAAACACAAATCGGATAAAACTTTCGCTGAATTTGTGGTCACTTTGAGAGAACTCGGTTCACAAGTATTTCTCAAACAAATGAGAACTCAGGAGAAGAATATCTTGGATTTGATTCAAAGCCATCAGTTCGCGCACTGTATCAACGATTTGGTGACTATCGAAGACTCGAACTCCGCTGTTGGCGACCAATTGGCCAAAGAGTTTCGACAGATTCTGACGCAATGTTTAGTTCACTTGAATTTCTTAAGGCAAACACTGGTCGACGTATTGCCGCAAAGAGTGTACGACAAAGCGATCGGAACCGTCATTAACACGCTTTTCAATGGATTAATAAATAAGATTTTGATCCAAAACGACATCAGCTCTTCCGGCGCCCAAAGGCTGAGCCAAGAAATTGAGTTTCTCTTCGCAGAGGTGAAGACGTTCCTGAAGACTGAGAACCCGATGCGTTTGGTCAGCAAGTGGTCCAAGTTATCTGAACTTAATTTTGTGCTTAACGTGCGTTTCGATCGTTTGGTTTTAGTTTGTATTAAAATTAATGTATATTTGTTGACGATTTCAGGCAAATCTCTTGGAGATAGTGAACCGATGGGCCGACGGCTACGGAATATTGGCCGCGGAGTTCACGGCACCGGACGTCAAACAACTGATTCGCGTATTGTTTCAAAACACGGAACGTAGGGCTCAGGCGCTCAACAGAATTACTTCCCATTAGTTTTAGTAATTTATTTATAAAAACAAAATCTTAATCTTTTACAAACTATAAATTGAAATAAATAATTTTTTGGACATTACATTTATTAAGAGCTATTTATTTAAATAATAATCTAACAATTACTAAATACCTATAATAAATAATAAATAATAATGCCTATATATTCAATGTATAATACCTATTTGCGAAACAAGGAAATAAAATATTTATTATAAAAAAAATTAGTTAATTTAGTAGCAATTATTGTAATCAAAATATATTTTGGGAATAAGGAAAGTGCATACTTGGGAAAAAAATTAAAAAAGTAATAATGTACATAAAAAAAAATGTGCGTCAGCCGGGAATCGAACCCGGGCCGCCCGCGTGGCAGGCGAGCATTCTACCACTGAACCACTGACGCCCACATTTACTACAGCATACATAAGCCATAGCGGTGTCTACGTTAAGGCCATACACAGGAGTACAGTATGCCTACAGTGTGTGCGCCAAACGCAGTGCTCATAGGATGTCATCACTGAATGCAAAGGTTTGACACAAAACCAAAACATTGGATGTTTTGCCTTCACTTTCCCCTTACGACTGGTTTTTGTGTGAAGTTTACCTCAATTTCAGTGGCAATTGAATCGGCGTTTCGTTAGCTTTTAGTTACAGTTAATGTTGGCATCCATTGGTTGTATCCATTGGTGTGTCTAATGAGCGCACAATTAGTGGATTAGTTATGAAATGCCTTTTAGTAACGAAAACAACTTCTTCTACCATTCGGTGCAACACTTGTCCCGATCTTTGGCTCAAATCCAATCGCTTTCGGCGCAAAAGGTATGCAAACGATGCCATCAAACGAGTGACACATTAATGGTATTTAACTCTTCGTCCGACAGTTGAATGTCTTGTTCTCGTTGTGTCCGAAAGACACACCGAATGGACAGTTGGTTATCGACCAAAGAGGACAGGACTCGGTGGTCGCGCTTATCATATATTTAATTGAATCACAATTTCAGGTATTTTTGCACTAAATGTCTGCTTATTGTCACAAAAAGTGTAATAATTATTACTATTTATCGTATGTATGGTACGGTTGACGGACTGACAGCACAAACAACTAATTATCACATATTTATTGCAATTATTGAATCGTTTAAAAGATGCCGTTTTTAGTGATTCAATCAAACTTCACGAGTCAGACCGTAAGTCGCGAAGAGTTTTCAACGATTTGCACAAATGATATGACAACTGACTGTCCATTGAATAGGTATACCAATCGCCGAGAGATTCAGCTTCTGCCTGAACACCGGTCTGTCGGACATCGCGTACTTCTGTCCCGAATATAGCGATAAGATTTTGAGTCAACAAATCGTTTGCTTTGAATCTCTCACTTCACTGATTCTGGACTCCAAACAACTCCTGAGTAATGATATCTCGCATAAAAGTCAGTAAACACTTCCCCGTAAAGTGATTACAATTAATGTAACGTAAAAATTGTCTTACGTTTAGTCCGATTCTGTCACACAATTGTTCCCATTTATATCGGTTTGTGTCGATCGTTGGGTCGGACGCCGAGCGACGGCCAGAATACGCCGCTATTCCTCCGACTATTCCCTCCGCCAACGCTTCCCCCGAAGACCGATGAGTCTCAATACGATTCGAGCAAAGATCTCAACGACAGCTCGTATAACGTGAACAGAGGTCTCGGCAATAGTCTGCTGAAGAAGGGAACGGTTCCTAACTTTCAGAAACTAATTCCGCGTTCGTTCTCAAGCGTGTCGGCGAATCCGACGTGGAGTTCGGGTCTTAACGGACACGACTCGGCCGCCGACGCGCTGTCTGTGGGCGGAGTGAGTGGTTTCGGCGGCGGCACCAAAGGCTCCTTCCAGAGCCAGATCTCCACTTACAGTGCATTCAATGATACTGTGAATGAAACGCGTTATTTGTTCTTCAAATTTGGCACTTCTTTCGCCGGACAGCCGACACATTTAAAGCCAAAGTCATCCGAGACTTCCAAACAAATTGATCATAAAATGGAGATTCCTTTCGATTACTTAATGAAATTGCTTTCGTTGTCTAAACAACTGCTCAATAAAGAGATTTTGCAAACATTAGATGAAATCGCATTCAGTGTATTTACGGTTAGTTTTATAGTTATTATCGTTTGAAAACTCTTTGATTTAATTTTTGTATAAATCCTAATGACATACAGATGCAGACAAATCAAACACAAATCATCTTTCCGTACAAGTCTTTCAGTGAAATCATAAATTTGGTTTCCGTTACTCTATTGCGAGAACTGTTATCCCATAGAATTGGTTCGTAAATGTGTTTTATTTTCACATTTCATATCATATTTACCGTAAATTTATTGCACGAATCGAAACAGATTTACCGAAAACATTCACATCGGAAGTGCAGGAGTTTATCAAATGTCTGTTCCTTTCGGGACAGACGGAGATCATGAATAAGCCGTCGTCTGATCTCCAGAACTCCATTTACAACAGCCTTAAGCTCAACGTCCAGACGAACGCCGCGTGCATTGAGCTCTTGGTCTGGTCTTCGGGCGACGAGATCGCGGCCGACGGCCTCTGCACGCGACTCAACGAGAAGATCAACACATCCCACGGCCACCGACTAGTGATCGCACACATGCCTCTACTGCTCGTCTGTTTGGATGGGTTGGGAAAGTTGGCCGAAAAGTTCCCGACAATAGCGGCCACTTGTATCGCCTCATTGCGGGACTTCCTTATACTGCCGTCGCCTATATTAGTGCGTCTCAGTAAACAACAGATCGACATCCAGGGGTCGAGCGGACAGTTCAGTATAACGGTGTCGTCCGAGAATAACTTAACACTCAAATCGGGAACAAACTTCTCATCGACCGGAAACTCACACATTCCTCAGGTGTACACGAAGTTGAGGAACAGTGCGATCGACAACTTATGCGTCGCCCTCCGGGCCGGCCTTCAAGTGGACGCGCACTGCATTCAGGCGACCATCGCTTCGGTGTCCAATCGCTTGTATCAGTCGGAGAAGAGTGACTCGGAATCCAATTTGGTGTCAATGAACACAATCATAGCGTTAGGTCGGGTGGCGTTCACTCTGTGCGATATCCCGCGTTCAATGGAGTCTATCCTACAGTTCTTTCAGCAGCGCTTCTGTCGGCCGGCCTCTCATTTGGACTCTTTAATAGTGGAACAGTTGAGCGAAATGGTGATCGTCTCGGACTGCAACCAACACGTCTACGAGGAGGTGATGAAGATGTTTACAGTGATCACCATCCAGTCGAGCGCCGCCTATAACCTGAGCAATACGGACGAACGGAACCGCTATCGGCACGTCTCGCTGGCGGTGATCAACGCGTTCACGAATATCGCCAACAGAATCGACGGCCAAACAGAACAACTCGACCTTTTGGTACGACTGCTGGAACTGTTCGTTCAGTTGGGTCTCGAAGGCAAGAGACAGAACGAGAAGAGTCCGGCCGGCGCTAAGACGTCGAGCAGCGCCGGCAATCTCGGCGTTTTAATACCGGTGATCGCGACACTCATGCGTCGGTTGCCTTACATTCAAAGCCCGAAACCAAGACTCCATAAACTGTTTCGCGATTTCTGGCTCTACTGCGTTGTCATGGGATTCACGTCCGGCACCTACTTATGGCCGCGAGAGTGGTATTACGGGGTGCGCGAGATTGCCTCGAAGTCACCGTTGCTTAAGTCGCGCGAACACTTGCGGTCGGAATTGCACTTCAACTCCGCCATAAGGAACGAAGCGGTGTCTGGAGTGGAACTGCAAGAGATCCGGAATCAGATAATCGCCGATTTGGACCACTCGTCCGAAGTGACCCCGATCATCAATAAGCTGACGTTCGCGCAGTGCACTTACCTCTTGTCGGTGTGCCGTTTGGAAACATTCCGCGTCCATAACCTCATACCCGGTATGAATCCGTTCGACGTAATGATGCAATACTTGGAGGACTCGACCATTCAGAAGGACAAGGACGGCATCTGGCAATGCATTATGTGTATCGCCGACAAAGTGTTTAACGTGTTCTTAGATATCATGTCCAATAAACCCAAGAATAAGTCACGCGATAACGAACTCGAGGAATACGCGATTCTACTTCTGGTGAAGTTTAATCACCGACAGAAACAGATCCGAAGGGTGGCCGACAGGTATTTGTCTGGTTTAGTGGACAAATTTCCGCACCTCTTGTGGAGCGGCAAAGTGTTGACCACAATGTTGAACATTCTTCAAGTGCTGGCCAGTGCTCTGGAGCTGAACCCCAACGAAGCCAATCCCGAGCTCAAGGTTCCGGACACTAATTACTGCATCCAATTGACGGACACCATGGAGGCGCGCGAGAGTATTGTCCGAGACTTTGGCGCCCGGTGTCAGGGTATTATACAGGAGGCGACCAAATGGGCGCCGAATATCACTCGATCTCACCTTCAGGAGTATTTGGCGAATATGGAGCACGCGATGAGTGGTATTCAAAGACATTCCGGACTCTCATTAGTAGTGGAATCGATGGCATCATTCGCGGGCAATAACTCCAATTTGAATGCACTCTCTGTCACGGCTTTTGATAATTTGCCAAATTTTATAAAAAACAATTCATCGGAATTTATCGCATCGATGAGTCTGCGGACGCACTTCGCGGGTGAGGTGTCGGGAATGCTCTCCAGCTATAAAGAGAATCAACAAAATGAGCAAAAATTGGCCGAAAAGCTGATCAATGACTTGAAAGAGAGTTCCACCGAAATGGACGTCAAAGCCCATCACGAGTGCGTCTATAAGATCACCGCTCTGTTGATTGCGACACCAAATTGCGACCGAAAGTTAGTGCACGCCTTATGCTGGGCACCGGTATTCCTGTTCTCGGAGGACACGATTGCGAGTGTGATATCGTGTTGGAAGTGGTTATTAGCGGCCCGTTCCGACTTGGAATCAAAGGTTTGTCCGTTTATTTTGAACACATTTAGCGCCAACTGAACGGTCGCTCTATTACTTAGTTTATTGAAGAGATGGCCTCCGCATGGAATGCAACCATCGATCGAAACTTAGGTCTGTTTGCTCCCGATCCGCCACAAACGGATCCCTTGACATCCAATCCAAACACCATTTTAAAGCCAAACCCTCCATACATCGGAGGACATGCCCTTTGGGTGAAAGTAAGCGCTTGTTTTATACGGTATTTTGAACTCGATTTAAAGTACAATTTTAATCGCGTCGACAGTTTCTGATTGAGAGGATAGAGATCGCGAAATACAGTTCCTTAGATCAGATCGAGATCTTTGCGAACCTATTGCACCGATCGCTTCACATATCCGTCGGTCGCACTCATCACAGCTCCAGAAATATAGCGACCATTGGCTCGCGATTCCGGCTCTTGAATTGCGGCCTCTCTTTAGTACAGTTCGACATTTTGCCCAAATCTATCAGTAAGTCTGTGCTCAGGGAACGGGTCTATTCGGCGGCCATCGACTACTTCTGGTATGTCTTTGAAAATACATTCCTTACATATAAATTCGTATTAAACCCGAAATGCTTGGTCCAGTGGTCCGCAAATCATTCCCTCGCAAAAGGGTGTGGAACTCAAGGAGGATATCATATCTTTGATCCGCTTTTGGCAAAGTCTTCATTCGGATAAGAAGTACTTGAAGTCCTCTTTCCTGAACGACGGGATCTGGTCTAACGAGCCCTTACAGGCGATGACATTAAGCGGCGTGAGTCCCGACTTGAGAGCCAGTTGTTCTGAGTTCAATCAAAGCCGCATCAATACGCCCACCCCCTGGATAAACACCGTTCCCCTAAACAGCAATATGTCGACGATCTCGAAGCGCTCGTCGGGTTTCAAAGGCTCGCAATCGACTAAAAACAGAGAGAACTCTATATTTGTCGACTATTTCGTGAAGGATTACGTGAGGAAACGGAATCTGATATTGAGTTTATTGGCGCTGGAGATCGAGCTGTTGATGACTTGGCACAACCCCACGGCCTCACCCGAGGCGGCCATACCGGGCGAGGAGATGATCTCCAAGTGGCGCAACCAACCCATCACTGAGCGGACGTGGAAAGAGACGGCTCGACTCGCGTGGGAAATATCGCCAACTCTTGCCGTATTCCTCCCGTGCAGGTCAGCCCTCGTATGCGTTGATTATTAGCGCAAAAATTGCTATAAAAGTAAACTTTGTTTAGATTCAAGAATTCAGACGAAATCAAAGAAGAGATCTCGCGTTTGGTTCGCTTGAATCCGATAGCTGTCTGTCATATCCCGGAAGCGCTCCAGTATTTGGTCACATCTGAGAGCATTTTACACGACTCTCCAGAAGTAGAGATTATTTTGTGATAAACGTATAGTGAATGCCAATATTGATTGAAATTGCAATTTGCTATTCAGTTGAACTATATGCTGACGTGGACTCCCGTCTCCCCCGTGCAAGCGTTGTCCTACTTTTCCCGGCAATACCCTCCGCACCCGATCACCGCTCAGTACGCGATACGAAACCTAACAAATTATGATCCGGTTAGTGCTTCTTAGACTACTTCTACCACCATATCAATGCTCTCAACATTTATTGTCGTTTTTCACAGAATGTGATAATGTTTTGCATTCCACAACTGGTTCAGGCCGTCAGATACGATAGCGTAGGCATTACTTCCCGTTTTCAAGTATTATTGATAACCATTAAGATTTACTCTCATTTGTCAGATGGGATACATATCGCAATTTATCCGGTGGTCGGCCACTACGTCCCAACTACTGGCCCACCAATTGATATGGAATATGCAAACCAATATGTATAAGGATGAGGACCAACAGGAACCGGATCGTGAGTTCGCAGACATTCATCTCTTATATATTGAGTTCATTGCTAACTTCATGTGTGAACACAAATGCATTGTTAGCCGATTTGTACGACCACTTGGAACACCTCATTAAGACAATCGTGGACTCGCTCTCAGGACCGGCCAAAGAGTTCTACGAACGAGAGTTTGACTTTTTCGGCAAAATAACAGCCATTTCTGGAGAGATTCGTAATTATCCCAAAGGAAAGGAACGAAAGGAAGCGCTGCTCAAAGCGCTCCGCAAAATACAGGTCCAGTTGGGCTGCTATTTGCCGTCCAATGCCGAGGCGCTGGTCTTGGATATCGACCCCGAAAAGGGTATTCCATTGCAGAGCGCGGCTAAAGCGCCGTTTTTGGCCCGGTTTAAGGTGGCGCTCATTGGGAGCGACCAACTCGAGCGACTGGCCATGTCTTCCGACTCGCACAACACCCACAACAACCGGATGTCTTTAGGCGTCGAGCTATGGCAGGCGGCCATCTTTAAAGTGGGCGATGATGTCCGACAAGTGAGTCACCGTTGGATGAGTCCATTGCCCGGCCAATGTATCTTACGCCATGACTATGACTTCCCTTATAGGATATGCTGGCGCTTCAAATTATCGCTTTATGCAAGAATATATTCCTCAAGGTGGGAATCGATGTCTTTCTGTTTCCATACAAAGTGATCGCCACATCTCCCGGTGTAAGCCTATCGCACAGCTCTTTGATTAGTATTTGTTATTAATTGACCCGTAATTGGTGTCCAAAGTGTGGTGTCATAGAATGCGTGCCAAACGCCAAATCGCGCGACCAATTGGGCCGCGAGACAGACATCTCGCTATACGACTACTTCCTCAAGACGTATGGCGACGAGTCTTCCAATCGCTTCCAAGAGTCGCGACGAAATTTCGTCAAAAGTATGGCCGCCTATAGTGTCGTCGGCTTTCTGTTGCAAATCAAAGACCGACACAACGGCAACATTATGATCGATAAGGACGGACACATCATTCACATCGGTATGACTATCGGCGCTCTCTCTCTCTCTCTCTCATCACACAATCCGATACTTAATTGCCATATATTTGTTGCGCTAGACTTCGGCTTCATGTTTGAGAGCAGTCCGGGCGGGAACTGGGGCTTCGAGCCGGACATTAAGCTCACGGACGAGATGGTGGCTGTGATGGGCGGCAAGATGGAGGCGCCGGCGTTCAAGTGGTTCCAGGAGCTGTGCGTTCAGGCCTACCTGTCCGTGAGGCCGTACCGCGAGCCTATCGTCTCGCTGGTGTCCCTGATGCTGGACACGGGTCTGCCCTGTTTCCGGGGCCAGACGGTCAAGCAGTTGAGGGCCCGGTTCGCGCCCAACGCCAGCGAAAAGGAGGCCGCCGTCTATATGTTGAAGATTATTAGGGACTCGTTCCTCAACTTCCGGACCCGTACTTACGATATGATACAATACTATCAAAACCAGATTCCCTACTAAATCGGTGGCCATTCATATGTTTTTTTCAGTTAATTATTGTTTTTATGTTATGTAATCGACAAGTATTTTACAGTCTTTTTTTGGTTTATTTCGATATGCATTCCAATCGAGATTTCAGTCGTTATACTGAGGTTTTTGTGTTTACATGTGATATAATTGTTAATTAATTATAATTATTATCGAATTATACAGTAATTCGTGTCAATATTTATAATATTTAAAACTTAAATATATTTAATTTAATTTTAAAATAAAAACTCTATTAAATTATATATATTTTGTCAATCCGTGCAGTCATTGGATTGATAATGAAGTAAATGTTTGTTTTTATTATGAATAATAAATTATTCTTTTGCGACAAATAATCAAGAATTCAATTGATAATGATTTTAATAATAATTATATATATATATCGTATTAATATATAACATAACATTATGTAAAATAAGAGTTATTGCAGTAAAGTTCAGTCTTTCATTTGATGTGATATTATAATAAATGAATGTTTAATTCTTATCAGACTTATGAATAAATTATGAGAAAAATAATTAATATTAATATTACAGTGTAATTGCAGTCACAGACTATGACTCATAGCTGTTTAAAATCCATAATTGTTTGATAACAATATAATTAGCATTAAGTCTTCGCATATAATATGATATATTAATCTTAAATCCATTCAAAACTGCGGGCTTTTCTCCCTATTTAATGTTTAGTCATAGGCTCTACAGACTATACAGCGATAGTAAACGCAGTCATAAAACTTGCATTTCTTGCCTTTATTTGTATTGATTTTCTATGAATTTTCAATGACTTGAGTTTTACAGCGATTGCAAAGTAAACGACAGAAATAAAAGTTTTACTGCATTTGAAAGTATTAGTAAAATATAAGTTATAGTTTGAGAGTCTGTAATTATAGCACATACACTACCATTCCACTCTAACCCTCAATCATAAATAAATGCATAAATAAATCATGAGTTGAAAACAAAACTCGCGTAAAACAGACTATTTAAGTATATATTTATATGTTCCGATATACGGTATGATAGTTAGCAGTAATAACTTCGAGCCTAAAATAGTTTCACTTTTCAAACCTCATAACAAGTGTGTTGTGACTGAGACTGAGATTAAGCATTAAATTTAAACTTTCAAACATAATAATAATGTGAACAAACAAAATAATAGACTATTAGTTTCAATATGTATAGAGATTTCTATTCAACTGGTCGTCTAAATCACAATTTAAAATAAAATGATTTGTTGCCTATATATAAGTTATATATAATATTCTGTATATTGTATTCATATTTAAAGTTTTGGTCAAAAATTGATTGATTGATAGGACGTATGATTTGTTTTGTTCTTATCTATAGGTTGGCAGCAGTCAGGCCTCCATTATATGCATAATCAGCCTTATTATGCATTATAAGCCTATTGTCCACAAAGTAATAGCTGTCCGAACGGGTCTCAAACGGATTGGCAATCATTTCTTCGCCTATAAAACAACACAAAACCAAATTCATTGCTATTGTCTGACAGACAAACCCTATCATCCATTGCTCACATAATTCAGGACTGAGTGACGGAAACTCGTAAATATGTTCACAACTGTTATGACTGTTGGGAATACAGAACCCGAAGTTGAAGTCAAACGTCTTCAGGAGTTTGTCGCCGAAGAAGTGGCGCTCAATCATCCGAAACGAGTTGATGGGTTTGTCGCCGATGCGGAACTCCACTCTGGGTATCACACCACACCATACGAGCAAACGAGTCAATCAATGCATTCACTCAATCAATCCATCAGTGGATCAATTGCGGTGACACTTACGTGGCGCCCACTGTCTTGAGCTTCAAGAACTGAGAGGTGAACTGATAGCGCACGAAACGGCCGCAATTGGCGTCCATCTCCTGGTCGTCGTCGCCCCCGTGGCCGTCGTCCGAGGGGTCGGGAGGGGGAGGGGGCGGGGGCTTCACGATCTCGAACAGCACGAGACCCGTCTCCATGTCTCGGATCTTAAAGCGCGTGAACTCTATGTCATAGACGTTGGCGTCCGGCGAACACAAGTACTCTATAATCGCAACGATATTAAAGCCATGAGTTAGACATCGCTCTCTTGGCGTACGATTATCTCCCGTTCCCTCCCATTCCCCACAATTCATATCCCGTTATAGTATAGCAATTGGGGAGCAAATAGTGGATCAGTGAGAGGGATGGGAGTGTGTGTGTGAGGGGACGGGTGTGGGGGTGAGTGAGCCATACGTTTCGTGATGGCTGGCAAACGGATGACATCCTCGGGAGTGACCACAGCCTTATCGATGAGCTCCTCTTCGGTGAGCCGATGCTTGGCGTCGAAGTGGACGTCCTTTCGATGTCCAGCGCGTGATTGTCTCATAAAAGTCTGTTTCTTCGTCTGTTTGACGGAAACAGAGCTCATAACTGACTCGTGGGTTGAGTGGCGAACCTATTGGTCACCCGTTTGTCACAACATATGTCCACTGAATGGATGCCAATCACCGACTGATCCGTCGCTCATTCGCTCAACAAATTCAATGCAATTATCAATAAATAAACACAAATCGAGTCAATGGTTGCCAATGGATACCGAGCGCAGTCTGCAACACACGAGCCGTACACAAATAACGTGACCCGTAATCGGTGTGATTACAATTGTGGTGATAAAAGTTGGTCATAAACTGTGGTGATCGGGATCAATTGAGTTTATAATTGACTAGATTCGGTACAATTGTTAGTTTTTCAATGATAGAGTGCATCCGATTGTCACGAGTATGTAATTTAAGTGATATTATGTGTATTAATGTGTATGTTTAGTGTGTTGTTTATACAGAATATTCTTGACTCAAGAATCTTGAGTTTTAAAAACTAAAGCAAATTATTATAACGAATTGCAATCAATAGTGATTCGTGTCGTTGAGTTGTGTCCGGAGGTAATCCATGCGCTTCTTCGCCCTCTGGAAGGCCAACACAACAGACAATATGTTTTGTTTCATTGAATCCAATGACGAGCTCTTTATTTGATACTTAGTTTTGGCCACAATTTGACGGCTTCTGCAGAAAAAAATGAATTGATTTGTGATTAAACAGCGAACTAAATGAATGAATGATATTATTACTGATTCTGGATGAGGACGTCGATGTCGAGGGCCACAGAACCACTGGATTCCGAGTTTAATCCATAATTATTTGTGCATTTATTCTGAGTTATAAAAAACAAATCAATTTATGAAACAATGGTTTGAAGGGAACAGACATTGGGTTGAGTGGAGTCTTTGTGAAGGTGATGGACAAGTGGTGCGCAACCGGTGAAGTATTGTCTCATTTTGTCCAACCGATTGTCTGCGTATGGCTTCCAAGTGTTGATCACCAGTGAGTGTCTTCCGGGTCGCACCGGGAGCTCCGCAAAGCCATAGCTTTCAGAGATTAAGCGATTCCAGTAGTCAAAGGACAGGACTTTGAAGTACAGAATTGGCCGCAAATCCTCCAAAACATTGGTTTCGTTTAATTTGATTTGTATTTGAAATGGTGTCGAGAAAAGTGACACATCGTTGCCATTCGCGCAACACTTGTGAGTCATGCCGTAAAACGAGGATTCATTCAATTCGGTGACAAAACTCCACGTCTTGTGGCTCTCGATGTAAAAGGAAACACAACTCTTGTGACAATTGAACCCTCGGGTCGACACTATTGGGTTCAATGATACTCTCAATCAGTCTATTAGGCAATTGATTTAATAGCAAAGTATGTGTGCATTAAGAGTGATATTGCAATTGTTTAAATGTATCATGCATTCATTGTGTGCATAATGAGCATGGTGCAATTGTAGCACTACAGTACGTGTATATTAATTTGCATAATACATTCATGTTGCGATAAATCCTATCTAGTGAATAACCTCCCTGTGCACCCCTACTATTATGTTGCAATTAACCAGACATATAATCTTAATATTAAATGTTAAGTAATATATGATGTGCTTATAATTAGTGCCTTATAGTGAGTGCATAGTTTGCATCAATTATTACCGATTGTGCCGTTAATCATAACCAAACTCTCATCGCTTAATGACATCTCAATAGCACTTCAATAATGACATAACACTAGTTGTAATCAATACGTGAATTGCAATTCACATATACATGAGACCAACAAATACTGTACACGTCTAACACCAATGCGATTACTATATTCATAAATATAGTATTAGTGCTAAACACAAGTGTCAACCATCAGTGATGAATCATATTCATGACTCTCATGGGGGCACTACTCGGGGCACAATTGTCTCCAATTCACGATAAGACGACTATTGCTAATACAGTACAGTGTGAAGCAACCATCATAATATGTTGTACAGTATATTAGGCTTAAAAATACTTAAATACTTTTAGGCTTAAACAAGGTGTCGGAGATTCTCGAGAAACAACGAGTTCACTACAGTGTAGGGGCGATTGTCTATACGGCATATGTCTCACCCACAATCACCACCAACTGTATGCCACACAAATGTTCACTGAGGGACACTGTGTTGGACTCACCCACTTTTCATATCCTATTTTATATATTTGTAAATAAAATAATAAAAGTGTGATGCTGACATTGTACAGTGCACTATAGGTACAGGTACTGTTCAATAGTCTATACTGTACAAATATTACAATAATCCATGTAATTTTTTTGTGCAAGGCTCTATTAGGGTAGAGGGAATATAACTACTGAATATTGACACCTTTATTCTGTGCATATACTGCAATGATATAGTAGTGGTAATCATAGAACCGATGGCTAAACTCTCGGCACACTGGGAGTCATTCCCAAACTCCAACTCTTATTATTACTGTATTACTGTATTATATGAGCTGTAATACAGACTCCCAGTTAGGAGTTATTAGTTTGCATCACCAGATAAAAGGGAATGTTATTTAGCAGTTAAAAGTTGCAGTAATTTATTTGTGACAGGTAATTTATATGGTAATATACTGTAATTTGCCTTAGCTACTGTATATATACAATATTAAAGATATTATTAACTTTAGACATTAGCATTTGCAAATATTGCATTATAAAAATATTAGTTTCTATAATTTAACATCGCTAATTCAGTATCTAATCTTACATAATCTTTAGCAAATATATAATGCACAATTTTTTATTTATCTAAGCTTATAGATTACCCTGTTGCTTTAGTGTCTCATAAATAATATTTAAGAAATTAACACCAATTGCCGTGAATGCCAAGCATAGGTGGGTCAGGGGTACGTGTGTTGCAATTTACATGCAACTTACATTGTAATGATGTAATTGACCATGATAGTATGCCTCTAGTATTTACATGTATATTGACATATCACGTGACTCTGCATTTGGCTATGAGCTATGCGCTACGCTAGAGCCCACAGTCGGACCACTTGTTGAAACCCGACCCAACTTTTACCCTAAATTTTATCAAAAGGCGGCCCAACCGTATCCCACACGTACTCCCGAAAGTCCACGGGCTCTCGAAAAAACGGCAAAAAATTTTCCACAAAAATCACCCAGGAACAAATATAAAATACGAAATAAACTATCATACATTGGTTCTATTTAAAAAATGACTACAATTACGCGTTGACCAGGGTCCATTCGAGGCAAATTGCGGACTAAATAATAGTTTCACTAAATAGTATCCACCTCTACCTCCACTCGCGGGCGGGTCGGGCGTGTGTGGGTCGCACGGGTTGGCCCGTTTGGGGCGCACTCTATGCCCTCTGGTATCGTATAATACGTGTGAATAAACTTTAGGGCTTACAGTGTGTCCGCCATTTTGGTCGCAGATCTAACATATAATCGTATCACTCGTTCACACAGTTTTGGGTCTCTTATAATAGCCATTAGTATCACTCGTATTCAAGGTTAGAGTGCATTGTGGGTGATATGACCACCACTTGATCCACCAATACATCGCTCGCCACCACGTCTTAGGGCTCGCATCCAGTGGTGATTCACAAGGCCTGCGACCGATGTGTTTGTGTTTGCTATCAATTACATGATTATAAAGACCAATGATATTATGTACGTATGTATAGGCGCCAGGAGGGTGTGAGTGAGTCGTGTGTGTGAGTGCGGGTGTGAGTGAGTGATACTGTGTGAGAGTGTGTGTGGTGTCTGTGCCGTGTGTCTCACCTGTCGATGATTTCATGGCCGCCAACAGGTCTCTACACGAACCGAGTGGTGGTTACCTCCAGAAGCGACACTCCGGGCAGCACTTGAGTCCGACCAACATTCCCGGCACTCGGGTCTACCCATACCCGGGCACTACCCAAGAGCCCGTCGTCCGCAACTCCTATCACCACTCGATCCCACACCACATGAACCCCTTGTATGGCGCCATCGGCTCCAATAGCGGTCACTCGGGCGCGGGTGTGGGCGGAGGTGTGGGCCCACAGCAGGCCTACCGGGACGGCAACTACACGGTCTGTATCGACGAGCCATGTCTTGGCACCCATTGTGACGCCAATTGACACCCATTTCTCTCTCTCTCCGGACAACAGGTGGACAACAGACACGAGTTCTCGCCGATGGATAGGTATAGGAATCGCAACGAATCGCTCGAAATGCATCACTCGGGCGGCGGCGGGGGTGTGGGTGGCGCTCACTCGCACGCGCCGCCTACAAGTGTCAGTGCCAGCGGTCACAGTCAAGCGCCTCCCCTATCGCAGCAGCGGAGGCGCCCCTCACTACTGCCGCCATCGCACGTACCAAACGAGTACAGTATGCTGGGCGCCGCCAACTCTGCCCTAACCTCGTCCTATCTGTCCAGAGAGAGCAGAGAGAGGTCGGCCTCTATTTCTATCATTGATTGTATTAATCAGCGAATGTTGTGTAATAGGTATGACTTAGCCTCAGCCTATCGTTACCCACAATATGATAGTCAGACAAAGGGTGCGGGCCTTCAGTCGGCGACCATGTCTATGACATCGGCGCCGCCCCCAGTGAACCAACACACGGGTCCGCCGCCCATGCATTTGGTGCCCGGCCTGCACCTGCCTCTGGGCTACGGCTCCCATCAGACGCAGCAGGCGATGGTCGCGTCGCCGCATTTGTCGCAATCGCATCTAATCCAAGACATGCCCGAAATGGCGATGAATATCAACAAAAGGCCGCGACTCGGCTTCGGCAACGAGCGGTCGTCACTCCATCAACCGCTGCTCATCGACACCAGAGATGTCATCGAAGTCAAGAAAGTAAGCGATTATTTGTTTGACACGTTTGGAGCCATTTGTTGCTGTGTTTTGACAATTATTTATGGCTCGAGTCATGAGATGTCTTAGTTTTTGGCTCATAAATCACTTTTGAGTACATTATTAACGTGTCGTCTAATTGTATGATTGATTGATTGATAGGAACCGGCGTATACGCCACAAGTGGAGGCCATATCGCCAACGCTACCCAACGATGACAACCGGCAGGACATGTCTCCGTTAAAGTCGACGAAAGATGAGTTGTTGCAGAATATAAACAAAATCGATAGAGAGATACTGCAAACGGAATCACAACTCACGAAATTACGCAAAAAACAGGTCTGAGAGAGAGACTACTGGTGCCAATGAAACACTTGTCTAATGAATTGATTTGCATTCACAGCAAGAGCTAGAATTGGTCACAAATAAGCCGAGCGCTGATAACCAAGAGCTTCAGGAGAGTTCGGGACTCGACTCACAGCTGAGTGTCGCACAAGTGATATATTCAGACAATAAAGTGAGTTCTAATAGTGATGATAATCACTGTCCGTTTGCGTCGACTAATGAAATGACTTATGATTTTTAGGCCAAAACACTCAAAACACACACACAATTTGATAAACTGGGTCCTATTATAGAATTGGTAATGAAGTGTTTGATTGTGATTATAATTGAATTGTTATTAATTGAATTGCTGTCCATTTTCGCAGCCCCTGTACAACCAGCCCTCCGATAGTCCCGTATATCACGAGAATAAACGCAAATTTATTAGTTTTAAGAAGAAATTGATTATATTTTTTAAGAAGAGATATCAAGAGAAGCAGTTGAGAGAGCGTTACTTAACCGATACGTACGACAAACTGATGCTCTCGTGGCTCAAGAAGTTGGAGAAGAAGGAGACGAATCCGCCGAAGAAGCAAAAAGACGTCAAACTTCGCGAGTATTTTGAGAAACAATTTCCCGAACTCCGAAAGCAACGCGAAGACAAAGAGCGGTTCTCGCGGGTCGGCCAACGGATCCGCAGCGACGCCGAACTCGAAGAGATTATGGACGGCCTTCAGGAGCAAGAGTTGGAGGACAAGAAGATGAGGAGCTATGCCGTGATTCCGCCCATTCTATTGGACTCGAGATATAGGAGACATTATTTTATTAATAAAAACGGTATTATAGAGGACACGATGTCTGAGCATAAAGAGCGACAAATGCTGAACATATGGACCGATCAGGAGAAGGAAATCTTCCGCGAGAAATATCTAATCCATCCGAAGAACTTTGCATTCATTGCCAGCTTTTTGGACCGAAAGAACGTCAGGGAATGCGTTCAATACTACTATCTCTCGAAAAAGGGAGAGAATTACAAACAATTGCTCCGAAAACAGGTGAAGAAGCGGACGCGAGCTCTCGTCAAAGCCCAACAACAGCAGGCGATCGCAGCGCAGGCCCAGCCGGCGCCCACACCCACACCGCCCCGACCGGCGGCGCCCAGCGTTCGACAGACAGCTCCCGAAGAGATTACAAAAGTGTCGACAGCCGTCGTCACGACGACCACCACTACCATTACCACTACCACTTCGGTCGCGCCAGTGGTCAACACCATTACGAGTACTACAAATACTACCAGTGCTTCTAATGTGCCCAAAGTGTGTGATTCAGTGGACAACACCGTTAACGCTGCGGCGCCTGACGTGAAAGCGGAGGCCGTGCTTAACGACAGCCCTATAAAGTGTGATAATGTGATAATTAGTAGTGAGGCCCACAATGACGAGAACGCCACCTGTGATACCCCGTGTTGTCTGTGTAACGCGAAAGTAGACAATCCCGCGAAGTGCCGGCCCGTCACGCCATCCAATCTAAACCTGTATAACATAAGCGAGAGTGCATTCAAGCCGGGGATGAGAGTGTGTCTGATGTGTCACTTCGCGAGCGTTCGCCGCAATTGTCCGCTTCCCTCGTGTAAGACTCCGCGCAGAAAAGTGAAACGTCTGAAGGCTTTCCCTCAGCAGTGGTTTGAGTTGAGCGCCGAAAGTCGACAAATGTTTGCCAATGAGCTCAACGTTCCCGACGACGTGCGGGCCGCGTGTCCGCGATGTGTGATGAGAGTGAGCCGACGGATAGGTTTGATCGCGCCGTCCGATCGGACGGATATCAATCAAAACAGTGAGTCTCGTGTCTGTTGGACAGAGAGTGAGATCGAGGCGTTGAAGCAGTCTATTCGCGAAGTGGGAAGGAATTGGGCGGCAATCGCGAATCAGATTCGCACGAAGAATGACAGAGAATGTCATGATTTCTACTCGAAAAATAAATATTCACTAAATTTAGACAAAACTTTTAAAGAATTTTTAGCCAATTCGGGAAAACCTATAAAAAATGGCGAATCAGACTCCGATGACTACTGGAATGATGTGAGCGATGGCGACAGCGAAGAGACGTCCAGCGCCGAGGAGTCGAGAGAGCGGTGCAACAGCGACACCGCCAGTGCCTCGAGTCCTATAAGTAAGATACCGGACGACATGGACGCCAAACTACTGAACGATAAGACCGATAACACCGTCTCCACGACTAACCATAACTATCGCGAAGACTTCACCAAACTTCAGGACTATAAGGGGTTGAGTGCATCGCAAACGAGTCTTAAGAGTGATTACGACAGCAGTGCCACAATGAGTGCCGACGAGGGACAGGGCAACGGAGACAACGATCGCCTGTCGTCCTCGCCGGCGGTGATCCTCCCGCCGAGAGCTAACTCAGCGATGCCGGCGTTCCCGCCGTCCAACATATACTTCCAGCAGCCCATCGACAAACACGTCCGGCCCGCCAGTCACGACGGCGCCGCCTTCGCTGTCGAGGCCATTATTGGCAAACCCTCGCACTCGCCGTCCGTATTGCGAGCGTCGGATACGAGCGCTATAAATAGCCGCCAAAAAGTGCCCCCTTTTCTCATCAATCCAAACGCACCGTCGACTCAGCCGTCAATGAACTCATCGCTCGCGCAGAGCGTCAATAAGGAAGAGCCCACTTGTGTCCGGGACCTCATCTATCAGGCCATCGAAATGAGTCTTCAGTCACCCATGAAGACGATGCGCACCAATGCGGTGACCATTGAGGCCAACAAACTGGATGCCAACGAAGGCATCGCGTCCTCTGGCTATCCGTTGCCTATCGTTAAGCGCGAGAATATGATGGATATGTCGAAGTCGGACATCAATAGAGACAGTCCGTCGCGTATTGTCTACAAGAACGCCGACATTCAGAGGCCCGAAGGCTTAGCGATGATGGCCTCATACTCGCAACACTTGAGTCCATCGCCCGGTCACGGACAGCACCCGTACGTAATGGTCGAACCGGACGAATACGAAGTGCAAGACCTGAGCAGCAAAAAGGAGCGCCGAATAGATAACTATAGTCCACGTAATTATAGTCCGTCTATAAAGGATAAAATGCTTTCCCATCGCAACGAATACCCGTACGGTTTGATACCGACCGCACATTCCAATCCCAACCGCGGCTCCACTCCCGTCGGCGAACCCATTGTTGACAATAAAGACAATTACACTCTAATGAAACACTTGGACGGCTCCTCCGGACGTATTCTCAACTCTGGCTACCCGTCCAACGAGAGGCTACACTCGCAAGAAGTGAAACACTCGCGCTCTTCGCCACTGAGTCGTCCGATGAACAAAATGCCGGTCACTAAAGGCAGTCCCGTCCCGCCGCCGCCCCCTCTCATCGCGTCCGGGAAACCCAATCAATCGTATTCGCAGTTATCGCCGAAACTGTATCGAGAAAAGATGGTTCCCGTGTCGGCCTCCAGTGGCGGCTCCATAACGCAGGGGACGCCTGCCATACAACCAAATAATTTCAATTTCGGACCAAATCGTGGCTACGAAGGACTGCTGCGACAAATCCCGTCCGGCGTTCACAAAGAGGGCGGTTCCATAACGCTGGGGACGCCGCTGATGGGTGGGGCCACTAACATGCCTATCGATCACCGACGGAAAGCCGAGTTAATGGCGTCCGACGCCCAGAACAGGGCGCAGGTGTTGGCCAGCAGTCGGGCGCTGTACGAGACCTCCAACGCCGAGCAATACTATCGCCGGTCGTCGCCGCCCGTCAGCCACTCCTACTCACCGGCATACCAACCCTCCGAGTATAAGATGAATAAACCCGTCTATCATAAGGACTCGCAGCTCAGCACCAATCAGATTATGATTGACTTCAACACATCCAAACAGATGCTGACCAGACGTGGAAGCAATTCGAGCGACAACGACATCCACAGCGCGGCTCCCATTCACGGCCAACAGCTGGAGTCGCGATCCACTATTAACGACCATAAGAATCCGTCGCAAAGCCGACAAACAAACTCTTATCCGAATTACAGTCAAAACTCAGCCAACTCTCCCTCTCCCGTATACTCCGATCGAGTGCCTCAACGCGAAAGTCAGCCCCAAATGTTGAGCTCATCCGACCCTCATATGAGTCATTGGTCGGCCAGACATTCATCGATGGGCGCCCAGAGTCCTAATTATGTAAGTGATTGCCATTTAGTGAGCATACGATTGTTATGACTTTAATTTGATGCCATATATACTCTGAACAGAATCGTCAGAATGTGATACAACAGCACTGGAACGCCGCCAACACTAAGCAATCGGTGATACAAACGCCTAAATCTACTTCACCACGAGATTACCGAACCGAAGTGATCAGTCCCGTCGCTCATCCAGTCATGAGAGGGTCGGTCTCGCCTCAGGTGCCCATCACGTCGACGGCGGTCCACATGTACAACCCGGCGCACGACGCCTTCACAACTCTGGTCAATACGGCCGCCGCTCAGCAGAGTCTCGCCGTTCCCACCGATCGCAGGTCTGGTTCGGGTTCCGGGTCGCGGACCGATCTACTCATCCGATCGAGTATTAAGCCGAGCGCTGAAGGGCTCGAGAAGTCGCTGATGGAAGGCTTCCACGGAAGGCCTCCGAGAAGTTACACCGAAAACGATTTGAACAAATCGGACGACAAACTGAGGCAACAACACGCGCACGACAACGACCACAAGGCCTACCATCCATCCAATCGGCCCACCGATGACTACATGTATTTAGAGCAACGACGACAGTTTGAACAGTTGGCTGATATGGAACGACACGGATATAACCGCGGTCATAATGACCACACGGGCGGCGGACACGCCTTATCACAGCCGCGACAACTGTTCACTAAAGAGCAGTTCGAGCGCGAACTCAGACAACCGACGGAACCGAACCGGCATTTGCCGGAACCCGGCTTTCGGATGAAGTCCGAGGACATGGAACTACCGCCTGAGGCGCGACACCCCTTATCGGTGATGAGACCACAACAACAACACAATGAATTGGATAACGAGGCGTCGAAACTGTTTTCGCAATCCTTTCAAAAAGACAATCAAAAGCCGAACTCATCGCGCGGGCAGTTCACGGCCGCCAACTTAATCGACGCCATTATCACCCATCAGATCAACTCATCCACGGAGTCACCGAACGGTAAAAACAACGGAAACGCTGTGAACAACAACACGCCTGTGAGCGAAGCGCCGCCAACTAGTGGTAGTGGTGTCGTCGACTCGTTGTTTGCGAGGTATAGGAGTGCAGGCAATGCCGACAAACACCTCTCCGCTCAATATCCGAATCGCGAGGAAGTGGTGACTATAGCCGACAGTCCGGACCCCGAAAGACCCGAGAAGTCGTATCATATAAACGAGAAGTTAGTGCCCGGAGTCCACGTGACCGCTGCGTCTGACTACTCCTCGAAAGGCATTACATTAGGCGAACACATCGACACAATTATCTCCAAGAACTATACGAACGACGGCCGAACTCTTCCCAATCCTATGCTTCACATCGACCCCAGAAGTAGTCCCACAGTGTATGGAATGCCTTCAATCAACATCGAGGGACCCCGGAGTTCAATACTGCCAATAGTGTCCACATCATCGCCAGTGCTCGAGGGAATCGCCGCGACAGCCGTGTCTAACGCGTCGTCCGACTCGAGCGGTGCTGTCAATCACTCGCCGCCGCATTCGAGTTGGAAATTGAGGAAAGCCTTACAACAGGACAAAGACGCCAAAGAGTCGGACGAACGACAGATCATACGTATCGTGCAAAACGTGTCGCCCAAACAACGGAAACGCTGTGAACAACAACACGCCTGTGAGCGAAGCGCCGCCAACTAGTGGTAGTGGTGTCGTCGACTCGTTGTTTGCGAGGTATAGGAGTGCAGGCAATGCCGACAAACACCTCTCCGCCCAATATCCGAATCGCGAGGAAGTGGTGACTATAGCCGACAGTCCGGACCCCGAAAGACCTGAGAAGTCGTATCATATAAACGAGAAGTTAGTGCCCGGAGTCCACGTGACCGCTGCGTCCGACTACTCCTCGAAAGGCATTACATTAGGCGAACACATCGACACAATTATCTCCAAGAACTATACGAATGACGGCCGAACTCTTCCCAATCCTATGCTTCACATCGACCCCAGAAGTAGTCCCACAGTTTATGGAATGCCTTCAATCAACATCGAGGGACCCCGGAGTTCAATACTGCCAATAGTGTCCACATCATCGCCAGTGCTCGAGGGAATCGCTGCGACAGCCGTGTCTAACGCGTCGTCCGACTCAAGCGGTGCTGTCAATCACTCGCCGCCGCATTCGAGTTGGAAATTGAGGAAAGCCTTACAACAGGACAAAGACGCCAAAGAGTCGGACGAACGACAGATCATACGTATCGTGCAAAACGTGTCGCCCAAAGAGAAATCGGTGTATCCGTCGCACTCACCCATCAAATCAATCTCTCCAGCGCTGAGTCACTACAACGTGGAGCCCATCTCCCCGCCCACCCACTCCTCCACGGATAGCAGTCCACAGTTGCCCACGACGTTCAGTCCGATGCAGACCACGTGGACGCCCACCACTGGCATCCAAACGAATGCGTTCACGAGTCGTCACTTCTATAGCGCCGACAGCTCTAACGCATCCCATTCGACGAATCTCTCGAAATCGGTGCACCCAATGGTGTCCGCAACCAATCAAATCACATCAAACGCCGGTCGACCGAATCAGTCGCCGATCGGTTTGTCGCCATTGGATTACGTGAAGAATAGGATCGTCGAAGTGATGCGAACTACCGGTGAAGAGCCCGGCGATGACACCAATAAGAGAGTGAATGAGTTTCCGCCGCAAACGGACCGCAAGTCCAAAGACGAGACTGACTTTAAATTGTCTAACGATTCCAATAGTGCTGATAGAGTGGTGTCAATAGACTCGACGAACAATACTACAAACGAAAGTGTCCGTCAAAGCCGTGAAAAATCTAAATCTCCGGCAATGGCCGACAATTCAATACCGGTTCCAATCGCTCAGTCAGTGCCAGAGCCGCCCACGTCTTCGTCGTCGAGCGCCCAGAATGTTGTCGTCAATGACAGCGAAGTATCCGATGAAACGCCGGCAAAGCGTATGAAATTAAGTGCCGAACACGAGTCGACTGAATGCGATAAAGTCGAGACCACGTCCTCCTCCTCGAGGGTCGAGAATATGATTACATCCGAAAGCAACGAGTGCTCCGACGACAGGGAACCGACCGTTGACTCCGAGACGACAATCAGTCAGAGTTCGACACAAGAAGTGATTAAACCAACGGAGAGCGAGACTACTGACAGTGCGTCCAAAGTGTCGACAGAAAGTGTGGACATAAAGTCGTCCACAAGTGAACAGCTGTCCAACTGTGAGGTCAGTTCCGCGCGAAGCGACGATATGTGCGGTAAACCCGATCCGAAGCACATATACCCCGACAGTCCTAACTCTCCGGGAGAAATGGTTATCGACGAGTCGGACGACCACAACCTGTGCTCCTCATCGCCGGCCAACGACAAGACCGACGGCGAGAGTCCGCCCACTTCTAGCACCCAATCGGCGCAACAGAGTCTCATATCGACGACAGACGCGAAGAGCGATTCGTCGACCTCTGCGCTCAACGCGTCGTCCATCTGCTCGACGAGCGCCTCAAACGACGCCCAGAATCAGAACGAGTCGGTCTCGTCGTCGGTCATCGAGGCTAAAAGCGCTTCCGTGGAAGCGAGCACTCCTTCCGGCGCTGATAGCGAGTCGTCGTTATCAGTGAAGCCCAAATCGGCGGCGCCTCCAGCGGTGTCCACGCATTCAGAGACATACAACGCCGTCAACGCAGCCAATAGTGTGACGAGTTCTGCGCTCTCGAGCGTCGAATCCAACTCCAGTTCCGGCGACTCGAGCAACAAAGGGTCGGCCAACACATCGGGAGGTATGTTGTCTTACCGTAGTGTACAGTAAACTGCTTTTTGTAGTCATAATGCGCTAAACAATTGTCAAACCATTTGCAGTCTCGTCTTCAATCGGCGCGAGTGTGGAAGCGCTGACCCAAAGCGGCGGCCTTTCGAGTACAAGCATCCAGTCGTCGGCCATCAGTGCCAGTGGGACGCCGTCGAGCACTACGACCAGCGTATCGGCGCCACAATACGAGCCCCTTTCGGACGATGAATAATAGCCTCTATTTATTCGCAATGAAAATCATTGAAAATAACATTTATATTAAATTTATATATATTTCGACAAATGCTGTGATATTTCGATTAAGTGACGATTATATCGACAAATTATTTTGCGGTTTAATTTCTCGACGTTTCGATTCACTGCCGATCAGTTCAATAGACGCTACGCTCACACATCATATGAAAAGCGGATGAAAAACAAAGCAAAAGATTTATTTACATCTCTCTCTGCCCTCCCATTGAATGAACCATTTTCTTACAGTGCCTTTCAATGGCAAACACCACCACATCGTCTAACAAATGAAACAAATTTGAAATTATCATTTCAAAGATCTCCTATAAGAATGTAAATTGAATTCAAATTTCACTTATTGTTAGTTTTTATTTTAAGCAAAAAATATTGAGAAAACATTATAAATTTTGTTTCGAACGGTGCAATCGGTTAACTCTTATCAAGGTTTTGGATCTATTAATTGATAAATCGCTCACAAATGTGTACTTTTCTTGTGTTTTATGTAAATAATAATAATAATTAAACAAATTATAAAAAATTATTCCGTGTTTTTAATTAATTCATTATAAAATACTTCGTAAGAAACAATGGGTTTTAGATTTTGTCGCCTTTTAGTGACGTGAGTCCGGCTCTCATGATCTCATCGACTAATAACAGATTGCAGGCGATTGTCGTACTGTTCGGTGAAATAAAGCGCTCATTAATGGGAGGTTTTCATTGAAATTTTCAATTTCATCGACACTTACCACGAGTTGATGAGTTGACGCTTCACTTTAAAGTTGTCGAGAATTCCCAAATCCAATGGATTGATGGCCTCTCCGGTGTTGAGGTCGACACCGACCGGCTGTTTGGAAGCGTTGTATTCTTGCAATAACTTAATGATGACGTCCTGCTGGTCGAAGCCGGCATTGAATGCCAGCGTTTTCGGTATAATAAGTAGCGCGTCGGCGAACGCCTGGACGCCTAACTGTGCCTTTCCTTTCACCTCCTTTTTGTAGTCAACGAGCGCCGAATAGAGGGCCACCTCGAAAGCGCCGGCCCCGGGGACCACACTCTGGTCGTCGATGGCATTCTTGATGGCTCGCAGGCCGTCGTGAATGGCATCCTTGGCCTGAACTATGGAGTACTTGTTCGGCCCTTTGATCAGAATCGTGACCGACAGCGGGTTCTTGAGGTCCTCGACGAACGTATACCTCTCCTCTCCCAGCGTGTGCTCATACACCTGACCGGCCCATCCCAGGCACTCCTCGGTCAGCTCGTCCAACGAGTTCATGGGAAAGCCTCCGCAGGCGAGCGTCAGGCGCTCCATATTGCGCCGCTTCGCCCGCCGGAGCGCCACAATGCCGGCGCGCGACAGGAGGTCCAGTGAGATGGGATCGACTCCCTGTTGGTTTATCACCACAAAGTTCTTCTCCTTGTCGTCTCCGCACACTTTGTTCTTCAACGCGATTATTCTGTGGACTCTGTCGTCGATGAACTTCCTCTCGGCGTCGATCAGGCGTTCCCTCTCTTCGGCCGTCTTGTAGAAGAAGCCCGAGTGGACTGTCCTGTCGTGTCGTATGGAAAGGCATGTTATTCTCAATAAACTCATTAAACACTTAATGTTCAATCAATCCGTACGTCTTCTCGTATTCGAGGGACACATTACAGCACAGTATGTATGCGTTGCTCACGTGTCTCTTCATGTCCGGGTGTCGGGCGCCGTGATCTAAGACCAGTCCCTTCACGAGACTCGTGTCCTCAATGGACTTGTGCTGCATCTCTTGGATCTCAACCATAAACAGGTCGATCGGTTTGCCCTCTTGTCTGATGGCGAGTAAGGCGTCCACACAAATGGTCGCCAAATGATCGGCCAATTTGTGGTGAACTTTGGTTCGCAACGA